AGCTCCACCTTGTTGTAAAGCTCACAGCCTTGGGAATCCATTTATTTATAAATTTATTTATATATACTGGAATTTGTTTTTGATTGTGGCACAATGTTAAAGGCAAGAAAAGCCGAATCCGGTCAAAGCCTGTTATAACCCTATACCCCATAACCCTAATCCTTTCTATAAAGTTTTGACACCATTGCACTTGAGGTTTCTTGACTAATGTTTACAATAGTAGCTATGATTATGTACTGTATGTACTGTAGGAGCTCAGGCCAAGTTTTTTGGGAGTGACACCACACCAATCTTTGATATTAAAAATGTTGTAAATCCTGAAACTCTATTCCTTTGTTTTGAGTCTTGCTCTTCTGACGTTTCCATTGAAGACTGAGTGGTTCATTGTGTGGCCTGTGTACATGGATGCTGCCTGGCCCTGGATGGTGCTACAGTTCACTACATACTTCTGATTTTTGCGTCCTGTTTGCACTCCTGTTTGGACGGGAAGGAAACGCCACATTCTTTCTAGGAGCAGAACACTTCACACAGAACAATTAAGAGAGCCGAAAACACTTAAAATAGACCTGCCTCTGACACTTTCCACTGGCTCCTGTCTGCTCTGTGCTTTTGTCCGTATTAGGATAGACTGCTAGAGAGAAGCAGGCTTTAAATATGGTTTGGTCTGAGTATATTAATATATCTAATATCTTATTTTTACCAGTATACATACTTGGCTAGATTCGACCTTTTAGCAGTGAAAAGTAAATAACATAACATAAACATAGTTTAACATAACACTTTTCTGTGCACTCAAAGACACTTCAGATATGGCAATATTCATTCACGCTGTGGTAGGGTACTACTACTGTGGCCACAGCTGCCCTGGGGTACAATGATGGAAGCGAGGTTGCTAGTCTGTGCCATAAGCAAAATCCACACACACACACGCACAAACCCACACACAACTCGTACTGGTGCAATTTGGATGAAGTGTTGTGCCTAAGGTCTCCCATCGTAGTACTAACAGGCCCTGTTCGGCTTAGCTTCTGAGATCTGGCAGGTGTGTGGATAGTGGAAAATCATATAAAGTATTCCATGAATGTATGTTGGTAAAAAGAATCAAATCAGCCATATAAATGATCGACAAGAAGTTTGTAACGATAATGTTGCACAAAACAACAAATATTGACATTTGAGTAAATCCTCTTTACTCGAGTGTTCAAAGTTCACACAACAGCTTACTTCTGCATCAATGTTCTATTGTTCAAAGAGACTACCACCAGCACCTGTAAACACGTGTGCACACGTTCAGTGGTCATACCCACTTCCACATTCCCAGGGGCCTTTCTGGTTGGACACGTTAGTGTGTGCAAAATGTTGTTTCTTACTAAACAATAAGAAACAAGTTAATTAATGTATCATTTTGCTTTCACTTGCAAGTTGCACATATAAAATGTACTTGCATAGTAACTACAGCTGTAATTATTCTGAGAAATGATGAACCACACACATAACTAGTCAAGTATTGTCTCGATGCCAAAATGATTGGTATGTTCTTTTTGAGACTTTGCTGACAGAGATCAGAATAATGCAGGAGTGTGTTTTTACTACAGGATGTCTTGCTGTTCAGCTGACTTTGACAGATGAAACCATCAGATATATCGTGAAAGTAATGACTTTGCACATAAAGAAGACGATGAGCTTCTCAGATGAAATAGTCTCTATTAAATAGTTGCAGGACATAAACAAAAATGACTTTAGACTTTTGTCGGGCAGTTAGTAGCAAATTTTTGTGTTCCATTTCTCGCTTCACCAGATTTGGAGACCTTCGGGCGAGTTCTGTGAAGAATGGTAAATAGATAGTCCTCTGTTGGTGATGCGTGTACAGAGCTGGAATTTCTGCTCTCCTCCTGGTATCTGCAGAAAATCTGATCCACACTTTACTCTTACAACACGCAGGCTAGTGGAAACATATTTCTATTTAATTGACTTCATTTCTATAAACCAGGAGAGATTTGATTTTAGCAGCCAAGTTGTGGTCTTAGTAGTAAGATTGCTGTAAACTTGGTCAAGCCTTAAAGCTCGGGCGCCTAATTTTGTTTGTACCAACCTGAAAGTGCTTGTTTAAGTAACCATTTATGAACAAAAAGACCATTGTCACAACTACTGAGACCTGATTGGCCGAGTGAAGCCTGGTACCATTTTTATTTGAAAAAGCTGATTTAAAGATGTGACCGAGGCCAAAAATAATATCCAAGTAAAAACTAATGATGGAACAAAACTGTTAATTGAAACTGTGTTTTTTGTGGTTTTAAAGTTGGGTTCTCCAGCTTTACCACTGAAGTTATTACTCAAAGTCAGTAGTGACAGAAGTGAGGTCCGTCTGAGTCATGTTGTGGGCGATGTGGAAAGCAAAGCCCGGAGGAAACCCACCAAGACACAGGGAGAAACATGCAAAACCCTGATCGTCTGGCTGGGAATATTCGAAATGGCAAAGACTTCAATTATTTAAATGATATTGGTGTCTTTCTAATGACATCACTCATAGTGTTGGGTGGAAGAAGCCAATTTGAACACAATCTGGAGCCAATTTCCTTACATGGGCATCTGTTTTCCAATGGGGTTCACTTTGAGCCGCAACAGGGGCAGATGTGTTTCTAACAAGGATGCTAAAGCAAGCTGGTGTTTCTCCCACGAAACAAGGCCTCTGATTGGTTGATCCTTTATGGCTTATATCTGGATTTACAAAGACAATATCAAAATGAATAACCCAGGATCATAGAGCCCACACGAGTTTGACACAAAGTTATTTAGCCAGAGGAGTCTACTTTCCGATGCAAGTCAATAGGAGCGAGTTGGAGCAAAACGAGCACTTCCTTATTGGGCTTCATTGAGATAGACGGGATTTTCCATCTATATACAGTCTATAACTCAAACCAAGCTCATGAGCAACAGATAAGCCTGTACTATTCTTGTATTGTACCGTATTGTTTTTCCCTCTAAACTATGAGATACTGTGTAATTAGTTCAGCAGCTAAGATTTTTCCCCTCAAATATTTATGCTCCTGCAATGAACACTAAAAATGGTACATCTAATCGCGATCGGAGAACTTGTGCAATTAGAATTATTGCCGTTTTTTGAGTTGTTGAGATTAAAAGTTCATTAAAAATGACGGAATGGGGAAATACATTTGGACTCATACAAACTTTAGCAATGCACTAAATCCTGCAAAGATATACAGAATGGATTCAAGACTCAAAATATGAGAGTAACTTATAAATATAGAGATAGTTCATATTTCATCTATGTATATATTTTACCAACATGCAGCCGTACCTGTTAGTTAGGATAGAAAATGTGAGTTATTTTACTTCAAATTTGAAAGTTGGCAATTTCTCAAGGATAACCACAAACAAATGATCCGTTCTTAATCATTGTGTATTGTCTTTTTTTCATCGCTTGCCTTTTTGCGCTTGTTTCGGCCGCTTTCCTGTCTCTCCATCACCAAAACAAGCAGATAACAACCCACTTCTTGACGACTTTGGAGATTGCGTGCAAAAAGAAATAAATAAGCTGACAGCGGTTTCTCAAGGGTTCAGATACATCCATCAAATAGTGTTATGAATACTGGGAATGTTTTGATTCGTGTTCGGCTCGGGCAGACACGGAAGTGCGCAACGACCTTGACTTTTCACTTCACAGACGGACGAGGAAATTAAGCCAAAATGTTCTGTATGGAGCAGGGAGGAGGGGGGGTAAGACTGGAAATCAACCATATGAGACTGAGGAGGAAAAAATGTAGCTGATATAAACAAAGTTAAGACATGATTCGTAGTCTTAAGTGAACCTTACAAGTTACAACATAGATTCTTCAGTGATTCGGGAATTTAAAGAGCCAGTGTGTAATATTTAAATTTTTAATTGTGTCCCCAGATTATAGGGCAACGTGTACAAATTATAGTTGATGTTTTCTGAAAGTCCATGAGAGTAAACACAACTGGATCTTAATATTCATACCTCATATTATGAACACATCTACACATAACCGTAACAGGACATCCTCCCATCAACCAGAAGTGGCAGAGTTTGCACATTCTCTCAACGAGTTTGCACACGTCATGTCCTTTTCGACACCTTCGTGCTACCCTCGGGTCAAAATGACCTGCCACAAAAATTGTGGGTCATGGAACTCAGTGATTCCCTTCATTTAGAGAAAATATGATATGCCATAAACGACAGATTGATTGAATTTGACTTCTGGCACTTTTCTTAGAGATGGCTGAGATGGACTGTCACACGGATGGTGCGGTTGCCATGGAGGCGACTCACTTTTATTTTACTTTTATATTTCTGATTTAAATCAGAGGGGCGACAGTAGCTCAGTTGGTAGAGCATTGGCCTTAAGGCCAGAAGGTCGTGGGTTCAATTCCCACCTCTGCACCTTCTCCATCGACTCCCACTGATGACTGCTGTCGTTGTGTCCTTGGGCAAGACACTTAACCCCACTTTGCCCAAAAGCCCCCACTGAAAGATCAAGGCTATGCTCACACTCAAAGAGCAGCCGTCCTCCTGTGGACTCACCACCTGCAGAGGGTCAGTGAGGGGCTGGTGCTATGAGACTTGGGTGGCATCTCTGACTGCCACCCCCCTGACCCAGAAATGGATTAAAGGGCAGAAAATGGATGGATGGATGGATGGATTTCTGATTTAAAAATCAGAAATATGTCTTGAATAACGTTGTTGAATACTTTCAATAAATATACTTGTAACCAAATTACCCACCACAGATGATTAAAAGTAGAAGAAAAACACCCCAAATTAGGGTTTAAAAGGGTCTAAGTGACACAGGACTGGTCAAGTTTGGAAAAGTCATCAAAATCAGCTTGGATTTATATAAGGTATTTTTTAACCACTGTGGTGGGTCAATTTGACCCATGGATTGCTCAAGGGTTTAACAGAATGTAATAGTTTTAACACGCACAAGATGAAACTAATGATATTGTGTGTATCTTGACAGGAGGCCAAAATGAAGAAGATTATGTCTAAAAAGGAGCGGAAGGACAGAAAGATGTTTTCCTCCAAAGACGACGAGCACTTGTTGTTGACCGGGGACAGTCTGACCAAAGGGTGAGCAACAAACTCCTGATGCTTTTGGATAAATGCATTGTTTTTTCTTATTTTCATTTAGATATGGAACTAACTATTCAGGACAGTAGCCTTCAAATGGGTGCTGTTTAAATGTTTAAGCTAGTCATTCCACACTGAGAAAGCGAGGGTAAATAATATTGAGTTATGCATGTTCAGTGCATTGGGGCAAACAATGTACTGGCAGTTCCCTGGTGCAAGTTGTTCCACTTTCACCAGGTCACTTCCTTTAGAGGAGTCCTTCATTTTCATCAACTCTGAGCGACAGAATGCCAGAAAATCCAGGAAATGACATTGTATGATTTTTAAACAAAGGATTTGTATAATGGTGTAATATATATTTAAAACATGGGTGTGTTCACGGTTAAGTGTCAATTATAGTATCTGGACTTTAAAAAGTTATAACTCAAAAACTAAAATTATTATCATAGTTTAGAAAATAAAATATTTCAAACACAGAAATATCAATGAGATAGTGGGGAAAAAATCTAAAGAAAAGATTGAAAAATGCTTTTTTGGAAAAATAGGAAAACAATTAAATCAGCCTCTGATTTGATAATTCTGTGACTCCAGTTATGTAGAATATATGGCTAACACAACATAAGAAAATCACTTGATTTAAAAATGAATCATTTTTGAAAAATAAACAATACAAATTTTAATGACCCTTGAAAAATGTGTAACAGACGTGATGGTTTCCATCAATTTTTTTCCAAAAATTAAACTTGAACATTTTTTTAGTCTGATCTCACATTAGTTGGTTTTCTATATAAAAGTAACCACTTTGTTTCTACTCTGTGTAAAAAAAAGAGTCTATTCATCAAATGTGGACATCTGAAAATATGTAACAAACTTCTGCAGCTCATTCCATCAAAGTCTGTGCCACAGATAAACAGAGCTGCTATAGAACATTTGACTAATATATAAAACAGTTATGTTCTAGCAACTACTAATGGACAGTCGGTATTTGGATAAATAAATAAAACATAAAATATCTATTTCCGGCCTTCCGTCACACTTTTGCACCCTTAGTGTGATCAAGCCCAGATAGTAAAAGATCAACTCAGTAGTTTGTAATGTATCTTTTTATTGGACAGAGGTCAAATGTTTGTAAAGTTATGCCTTCGTCACACAGTCATATTCAAGACTAATAAAGACCAAAACATAGTAGTGAAAGTCTGAAGAGCCGTAGTGTCTGCTCTAATCTCCACAGCTATAAAAGTCTCCAGCAGTCACATTGGGTTTACATTAACTTCAAGTGTGTCCCACCAGAGTGCTTTAATGGCCAAGTGAGCAGCTGTAAACGCATTTTCAGCTTGATTAAGAATAATGATGTGTTGTATAACACTTCCACTTGTTTATTTATAAGCGACAGGCCTTGGATTTAGCAGCCATTTAGATTTAAACTGCTTTAGGAAAGAGGGCCTTGTACTATAAGGAAAGCTTCAATGAATCACCTCCTGTGCCGCACAAACAAAAGAAATTCCTATGTATATAATGGTGAGTTGTATAGAGGAACATTCCATTAACTTTGTTAAAAATGTCTGAACTATTTTTAGCTTAAAGATAACATTGAAAAAGTTTGTTTATTCATATCTCCCAAAATTCCTCCAAAGGTCTCACAAGAAGATAAAGGACGACGAGAAAGAGAAGGAGAAGGAGAAGAAGCCGGAAAAGGGGCAGTGTTTTTGGGAAAGCGTCACAACAACTATGAGGAAAATCTCACCCGCCAAAAAACTGGAGAAGACCGAAGGCTGGGAGCCGCCTCACACCGTCCACAGCGGCGAAACAGACAAACTTTCCCACCTCAACAACCAGAAAAGTGACAGCGCGGTGGACTCGGACTCGTGGGCGGGGAGAGGTCTGGAGGAGGACAACTCTCGCTACGCCAACCTGTCCGAGTCCAAGGAGGGAGTGGGAGCAGTGAGGTGGACGTCCCGCGCTAAAGTCAAACTGGCTGGTTTCGGGCGGACGGGCAGAGGGATCGTGTCCGAGAGCATGTGGGAAGGGCTCAAATAAGATAGACCTAAATTTTTTTTTATATCAGAAAGGAAAAATATATTTGAGCAATCATTAAAGACTTACGTTTGAGGAATGAGTTTACAGGTAAAGTCTACTCCTGAGTGAAGAGCAAAAACTCAGATGAAAGATTGTAAGAATGAGTTGTACAACATGATTTTTAGTAGTGTGACTAATGTCCAAAAGGCTTCTTTGCTGGCCAGGAAACTTTTAAAGCACGTACTTTGAACCTGTTCTCACACCGCACATTATTATTATTTTTAAATATGAGGTCATAATTGTTTGAATCAAGTGTTTTTTTCTTTTTCTTAATTGGAGTACATTCTGACTGTCTTAACCCAGATACATTTCTTGCATCTTTTTATAACAAGACAATTTTGCTTGTAACATTGGCAAATCTTGTTTTTAGGCAGTCAAAACTAGCACAAATTAAGATGCATTTTGCCAAATTTGAGCAATTTTTGTCTTATTTTTGCAGTGCATTAGTTAAACACCCATTATACACTCGCTACAATGTCTTAAACACTATAATTCCAGTTAGGGCTGCACAATTTAAGAAATATCCAATTGTGAAAACCATTGGGACTATTTGTGGTTTGACGGTAGAATTATGCTCAAAGTTGCAGAATTAAAAGATGAAATGCTTAGAATAACTTGATTTAATCATTTCTTGCTTGAAATAAGAAAACATAACTCTACTGGGTATAAATCTAAGCTAATTATGCCTTTTCTGTTGAACTAGAACATGCACTCGGAGAGCACATACCCCGCCAAGGCCACATTTCATCTCTAAATATGAACGCTGTCTGCCTGCCATCCTATCTCATCTACACACCGAATTTCAGCTCAGTCCGTCCAATAGAAACCCTGGCACACACTCACACACACTCGCACAAACACATTACCCCTCGATGGGTGAAAAACTGTCAAAATGCACTCAAATGAGGGATTCACTACATAATTTAACTACTTAATGACTCATATATCAATATTTATAGCAAATGCAGTGATCCTTGTGTCTCTAAACCTCTTGTAGCTCTCAGCACAGGGATAGTGATGTTTGTAAAGGAGATAAACGAAACAGAAAAATTGCGTTCTTTCATTCAAATTGCTAAAAATTTAGTAAATGTGATTGCGATTTTTCCTGCAGCCCTCTTTCCGATGCACTGTCCAGAATATGCAACTCCACGGCCTCCTGAGCTGCTGCAATGTGAGTCAAGCCTTAATTTGCCTAAAGGTCGTACTTTGCCGTTTTATTGTGAAAATATTTTATACAACAAATGATTTCGTGAATGATCTTTGCTACTGTGTGATTTTTGTTGTTGTCGTAGAGCAACTTGTCAAGAGTCGAATGCTATTTATGATTTTTGTTTCGAAATAAAAGATTCATTGTACTGTACACAATGTTTGAAGTGCCTTGTATTAATAAAATAATGTACATATGTATTTGTTAAAAGGACTTCTGTGTTTGTGCTCATTCTTTTGGTGCTTTTTTGGAAATATTGATTTAATGTGTACAATCTGTTAACAATAATTACCATTTGCTTATAGTAAGAACATAAGGAGTCACATGACAGCAACAAGTTCTTAAAAGAAAGATTTTATTATGATTACTCCCGAATACAACAGTACCATGACTTCCATCACACTGGAGGATTACAAAAGTCTTTAAAAAAACGTATAAAATGTTTGTATAGTTTAATAAATAGCCCGCACTTCCCTTTCTGTTACGTATTTAATATAAAAACAAATATCTGGAGGTTTGCAGAATCTTTTAAAAGTGACAAAGCAGACATCACAGGACAAAATATACAGTAAAGATATTCAGACATGCATTCATAAAACCCCACTGCAACTTGTCCAGTTGTATTGCACCACTGCGTATAAATACTATGAGATTGTTAGACGATAATACTTTACATTTACTTTCATTATATTCAAAGTGTCTCTTGTAACAGACCTTATTCTAACCTCTTCTAAAACCATACTGAGTGGAGTAAACTTTATCCTCTCGTGTGAGTTGGAGATTCCCACACTTTTTAAAACAACATTCTAACATAAAACGGTATGTTTCACAAGTTTGGGTGAATAAAAACACATGATCATAGCTTGAAGCCCTTTGTATTTGACTACATGATGAAAGTCCCACACACACCTTTGGTTGGTTTTGGGTCAATACTGGAAGAGTTCAATAAAGTCCTGTGGGGAGATGGGTTTGAGGCACTTGTCTGGGTCGATGGCGGTGCAGGGATGCCCCCAGTCCTGTAACAGAGAACACGCTTTAATCACAGAGGATGAGGATGAGTTACGTTCACATTAGCTGTTTCGTATTGAGACGAAAAGTAAAGTACGGTAGCGCCCCCTTGTGGCTAACATTCCATATTATTGGACCTGGCATGCACAATGACAATGATGAAGACCTCTTGTAACACAAACATGTTCAACCCATATAAAGCCATCTAAACTGTTTCCGGAAGTAAAATTCTCTATTCAAAATATCCATAGGGGTTTTTATTTACAACTTATTTACTTTATTTTCCAAGTATTTCAACTTTAAAGTAAAACAATTCGGACAGAGTTTGGCAAAAAGAAAATCTGTGTCCCTTATGCTCTGTGGTAATCTGGTAATTACATACACAAGGATACAGTATTTAAGGTATGTTTTTCATACAACATTTAAAATGACAAAGTTCAACACAATGCAATGTTTTAATTGTGTTTCTTTTGTCTGAAGCCATTGCTGTGTTTACAGTAGTTACCAGATAGCTCTTATCTGACAGTTAGCCTCTGTAGTGTCTTCAAACTCTTGATATTTGGATTTTTCTATAGAGAAACTATAGAGAGACTTCTATAGAGATTTTGAAGAGTAATTTTACTTCTCAACACTTCACAGTTCCTTGCATGATAGCCACTGCAGAAATGTAATAAAGAGAGAAACCCATGTACCTTGAATATTAATGCCAGGTGTAGGTCCTGAAGAATAAGTCAGAAGGCAGGAGTAAAAGAAACCACACCGTGAGAAAGTTAAACAGAAGAAGATTTTTAGTTTAATTTACAAAAAAGCAAAATGAGAAATACTACCTGCCAGAAGAGGATGTGGCAGTGTTTGCAGTAGTGCAACGTGTCTCCGTACTGCTCTTTCATTGGATAGTACTTCTTCAACGTGTAGTACATCCTCTTCCAGTCCACATTGTCGTTCTTTGTTAAAACTAGGTTCTTATGATACTAAGTTTGTCAAAGAAAGACACAGATACAATTAACAATGAGGTGATGATGTTGTACTGTACTCATGATGCACTAATCTAATCTATAACTGGGAAGATCTCATGCTACAGTTCAAACTCCGGAAATGCAATAATAACAAACACATAGGAGCCATTGGTCCATAAGGAGCGGGATGACCAATGTTCTTAAATGTTAATAAATGTACATAAATGTCCTTCAATGTCTCGGGTCATCGCTGTCCATAGACCCTCCTGCATTGGCAAGGAACAAGCCAAAAACCCATTGGGAAAAGGCCCATAATACTTTATTAAAAAGTAAAAAAGTTGCACCCATAATGGTAGTGCAGTGATATTAAATGGGTTGCTGTAAGGGTTAGAACAATGTCTGAAGCCTGCCCTCTAGTGGCGAAAAGTAAAACGTTGAATTGTTTCTTTCTTCTAATGTCTCACCTCTTTATCAGAAAAGTGAAAGTAGCACAGCTTTTTCCAGAGGATCTTGTCTTCACTGACGCAGCGTAAAGTGGGCATTGCCTGACCCACATTGATGATGTCACAAGCATCAGACAGTTTCCCCATGATCAGGTTCTGCATTTGAATGGGAAGGTCACACAAAGACATGCCACTGCACAGTTGCTGAAGGGAGAAACCAGTGTGATTTAAAATGTAAATAACTGTTCATCGAATCAAATCTGTGTTTCAATCTCTCACTTTTGGGATCTGCAGGTTGTTGAGCTGCTCCTGCCACTTGAGGATATTTTCCAGTCGGGACATCCAGATGTTAATATTCCCCACCAGGACCACCCTCCCTACGTGAATGGTCAGACCGTGCAATGTGGAGTTGAGGTCCTGCAGCAGGTCTTTGACAAGGCGCGGGTTATAGCAGTCATCGAGCACTAGAGGGCGCACAGAAGGCTGTTAAATCTGAGGAAAGAAAGCTGCCAGCTGTGAACTGAAAAAACTATAAATTGGCAAAAAATGAATAATGTAAATTAGATAGATTAATTAATCTCACGACTGGTTTTCTGAACCAGAAGCTGCTGTTTAACACTTCAAAAGTGTCATTTTTTCCAAGGCCTGCTAAGAGCCTAAAACACTCACCTTTTTGTACAATTTTTTCAAGTATATTGAAGTAATTCTTCTGAGCAGCTCCGCTTAATGATGCAAGCTGGTACCTAGCAATTAACTGGAAAAGCTATGAGAGCAAAGACACCAGTTAAAACCAAAATAGAAATTACATAGTAATTTAGTTAATTTTCTGGGCTTTGATGGCCTACTTTAGCAACATAGTCGAATCTCCGCAAGTCCTCAACAGCAGTAGAAAAGTCAAGGCGGTTGAGGGCCTCTCCGAGTGTGCTGTATCCTTGCCTCTGTGAAATACAAATGGACGGTCACTTCAATATAATATATTTAATTCAAGTGTATCTTACTGACCTCTTTTGTGCTGACTTTATGCACATATATCCATTTGTCTTTTACGACTGAGAGACAAAACACAAAACAGTGTCAAGTTAGGTATTTAGGTAAGTAACAAAGTAAATGACTTTTGGGGTGATTTGAAAGCATGCTTGGAATGCCTTTGTTGCCCTATAACCCCAGCAGGAGCAGCAGAGGTCTCTGCAAGTGATGTCACTCACACAGAGACTTGGTGCTGTGGTTGTAGAGGTCTTTCTGCTGCTTCACGCTGGTCAGCTCACACACGTCTCCCACAAACACATGCTCTTTGTCGTCAGCGCACGGTCTAAACACAAAACAGCTGATGTTACAGGAAAAGCTCAGGAACATAATAAATGTTTTATTCAAAAAATTTAACATCTAATTAAATTGTAATGTGATACACTGGTCTATCTCTTGCACCAAATAGAAGATATAAACAGATATTCTGTGCCAATAAATGACATGACAATAGTGCTGCAACAATTAGTGTAAGACTGATAGAAATTAAAACTAAGAAAAGCATTGTCAACTGTACGGCTCGGAAAACAGATGTGAGATATTTATTTTTTTATACCAAAAACAGTGACATGACTTACTTAAATATACCTATTTTATAAAATTCTATATATAAATTAATCCCTGTGCCTCCGTTTGCACACAGTGACTGACAACCCTCAAAGTGACATAATTTGGGAGAGATTTTGCTCAAAGCTGTATTGATCCAGGTTCAGGTGTTTGTGGTCCCAGCCCTGCTGTCTGGATAGAATTTTAGAGCACAATTAAAAGTATGTTGTGTATCTATATTGAGATAGATCATCAATACTAAAATTCATTTGACAAAAGCTGAAGCGTCCTGTTTTCAGGAGCTCACAATTCTGCGCCTTTGGTGCATAAAAGTTTAATACTAGTTTGAATAAACTTTAAATATTATTTTAAACTTTTATTCAGAATCTAAAGAGTTTTTATCTTTTAAAAATACACATTTAAGATACATTTTTATTGGAAAAGAACTACTAGGTTGCAAAATCAATTGTTTGTTTTTAGTCCGATCGCCCCCAAAACACCGTAACAACGGCCTTAGAAACAGGTTAAAAAAAACCATTAGCACTTCTCAGTCGGTGACGTCACAGCGGCTACCCGTGTGAAAGCAAAAGTTGATCGCCTCCACCCTAAACATTTTACAATTTGTTTAAAAGCTAAATTGTTGGGTTTTCAAGATGACAATTAGACGTGTCGCAATGCATTGCTCACATAAGCAAATAGGCTGACACTATGTCCAGGAGACAAATTTATTAAAAAACATATTTTTCAATAAAATAAAGGATAATTTTGTCAAAATCTATTTCAGAACTGCATTAATTAATAATCTGTCTTGCAATTTTGATATCCACGAATTATTTGACAAACGCTGAACAAGGTCTTTAAACTTAAAAATGAACATAACGTAGTTTGACTGGTCATTCTGCTTTCCAAACAGTGACGTGTCTTGGCAAAATAATACAAACATGCACAGGCAGGTCCTTGTGAAGGGAGGGAGGTGAAACTATTCCTTAAGAAAAAAATAAACTGTAGAAATTACCTATTGTGTGCTTAAATTTGAACAGATGAAAGCACTTCTCTAAGCAGCATAAGGAAATAGATAACAGTCAGATATATCATGGAATATACACAGCTTTTGGTATTCCCTTTGTGCAGAGGTGCAAACACCAAACAGGAGCACATGAGATCTATTCCAAGACTGGACTCACAATCACAATCAGTGGAGACTGGAGTGCACTGCTTCGGTGAAATCAAATGTTGCTGCCACATGGCCATTTCTGGAACCACTTTGTAAGCAAAAAGTAAAACCAGACAGAGACAGTAACACTTCACTTCAGACAACATTTAATTCAACATATTTTTGTTTAGCCCTAAATCACAACAGCAGTCATCTTGGAGGACTTTACAAATGTGTCGATTGTGCCAACAATATGCCACATTGACTGGTAATGAGATAATCTATGTGACACTGTGTACCAGTACAAGTCCTTCATAATAGGCCCTTTACTTGTACTTAGGCTGGACAGAAGCCAACGTGGACGTCAGTGCCAGAACTCAAGTGATGTATTTGAGACATAAAGCCACTGCAGGGCAATGAAACACAAACAAATTGATTCAGTTAGAAAATCCACAAATACAAGTCAGAATTTGATTGTTTTGGTTTTGATTTGAGCTGTCAACAATTTCACAATCTTGTAGTAAACATACACTACAAAGATATTGCAAAATCCCAATTGCTGTGTGTAAAGCAGTTTGCTTTAAAGTGATCACAGAAAGTTGTATTTTGTAAAAAGCAGATTCTATAATTTTCCAACAAAAGAGTAATTCATAAAAGGTCAGCATTGTAGACACTCAAAGATCAAACAGTCCAAATGTTAAATGTACTGTAAGCACACGGATTTCCACAATGTAGCTGAATAAATCTATTTGCTCCCAAAATAAAAGCGCTGCCTCTTTGTTCACACAAGTCCTATTTATAGCATGGTAATGATTTGTCTGAATGAGTTGAGTTGATCTTTTGTTTGGATAATTGTTCTATTGCGTTCATTAAAGTTGGGGTTAAGTCATAGATGGGTGTAGTTCATTGTCACATGTTTGTGTTGTGGAAAAAAAAAAAGCACTGTTTTTCCCGTTCTCATAATTACAGGTCATAATCTAACAAAACACTCACACACACACACAGTCATAATTTGCCACGCACACAGCTGGAACCCTGTGAGGCAGGTAGAAACAAGGAGGCTACTTACTCTGCATAGTCCATGGTGTTATTCTCCTGCCCGTACATTATGATTCTCTTCCAACCATTCTCTGTCTTCTCCCAACACCACCCAGGAGACCGCCAGTCTTGGCCCAAGAAAGGCATTTTGACAGAGAATATTTCCTATATTAAAACAAAGAGAGACTATGGTTAGCATACAGATGAGGTGACATTTCAAATAACAACCAAATGATAACTCCCTAAATTATAACGTTACACTTAATTTGTGTTAATTTAACGTCATAGCAGCTTAAATAATTGTAAAAACACAACGAAATTAGTGATGACGATTGGTGAACATCAGGTACTTTGCATAAAACTGAGGCAGGCAATGCATGACAGTCAAAACAACGCGAACAGCTACATATAAAATCATGTTCCTGCCTACGAAAATGTGTGAAATACAAGCAGGAATGACATTAAAGCATTTTGAACCAACCTGCAGACACAGAGCTCCCCTTTGATGCGTCCTCTGTCCTGCTGCGTTGGAAATATTGACGGAAGTAAACACGGTGCGGAGTGTGGCATGTAGGCACGCCCCCCACGGCCTCTGATTGGTTAGAAATTCCGTATTCATCTTGTTGCTACCCAACATGGCGCCACTGATTGGACTGCCGGGCTGTCAATCAATTTTCTCATCACAATCCAGTTTGTTTTGTTGGGAGCTTTCGATTACACGTGACCAGGGACTGCGCACATGTACTTATGTTTTGATTTTAAGTGGGGGATGGGGGATATAATAGAGAGCTGCATGATGCTACTATCAAGAGCACTTCACTTGGAGGTAAATGCATAAAAGGCTCGGTTTTCACAATGTAGGGCATCATGTATATTTTATCAAGCTTTTTGTGTAGGGCAGTGTTACAGCAGCCTCAAATTAAACCATATTCATAATAAATGGAAGGCGAGATAGATTTATTTTCATTTTAGAGGCCATCCAGTGGTTACCTAGAGATTAGTGTAGTAGTTTGGAGGGCACGCACATTATAGAAGAAATATTTAGCAGAATTACCTCATGCTTTGGATGTTGTGTCCTATTAGTAATCTTACTGCATCAAGTATAGAGTTGTGCTTAATAATAAGAAATCCTCAGTGGGGGAAATGTAAGTGTTGCATCACAAGTTATAGAATAGAAGGAATCAGGAGCTGTCTGCAAGTTTGTGTCTCTAATACGTCTCTAATACGGTTGGACGGGGCGTGGCTGAATGGATAGCGCTCCCTCCTCTCAGCAAGAACGTCCTGGGTTCGAATCCCAGTCGGAACAGGGCCTTTTTCAGTGGAGTTTGCATGTTCTCCCTGTGCAGTCTATTGAAATTCAGTATACTTTAATTCAAGTGTACTTGATTGGGTATTATTTCAAAAACAACTGTTTATCAATTGTGACCCCCTTCCAGGTAGCCCCCCAAAGAATTTAGACAGTAACAAATCCAACAATGTGCTGAAAATTTCAAAATGTAAACTATTATAAATGAAAATTGACTTAATAATAACAAATGTGATGTTAAACAAAGACTGTTGATAGTGACAGTACCCAATCTCGGGCTCAATAAATCAACTCCTTGTTTTTTCCAGGGGCCGCTTAAAGTAGTAGCTCTCTCTGGCATTTGTGTCTCAAGAAAGTAACTCTCTGGGGGGAAAAGGTTGCAGACCCCTGGGTTGCAGAATACTACAAAGAATGAATGAAAAACTACTATAATAGATTTTTTCACTTGGGAAGGTATAATAGAATGAAAATAAATAATTCTCACCTCACCCAACTGCGGGTGGTTATCCCTCTCTAAGCTCGGGTCCTCGACCAGAGGCCTGGGAGCTTGAGGGTTCTGCGCAGTATCTTTGCTTATTCCTAGCACTGCACATTTCTAGACTTCCGAGTTTGCTCTAGAGATCTGCTGTAACCACTGCTCCAGCTTCGCGGTCACTGTTCCGAGAGCACCGATCACCACGGGCATGACTGTCACTTTTACCATCCAGGGCCTCTCCAGCTCCTCTCTGAGCCCTTGGTATTTCTCGAGCTTTTCCTTCTCTTTTATACTGATGTTACCATAGCTTGGAATTGCCACATCCTCCACCACAGCTTTCTTCTGCTCTTTGTCTTCCACCACTTTGTCTGGTTGGTTCGTGATTACAATCTGGTTGGTCTGTATCTGGAAGTCTCACAGGATCTTTGCACACTCATTCTCCATGGTGACCAAGGTGTATAGCTGTATTTCCATGATGATGTAAAGCACTTTAAATTACTTGAAAAGTGAAGGGAAAAAGTTGCTGTATTTGCCAAAAAAAGGCATCAAAACAATAGAAAGTACAGAATCAACACATTCTACATTTCACTGGCAATGACCACAACTGCACTTGGCCAAAAGATAAATTGGCTTTTACAATACACAGACATGAAACAGACCTCATTCCAGAGTCTCCAGGCATGAAACAGTGCGTTCTGTCCAAAGGTGTTTATTGATGAAGACCAAAAAAAAAAGAAAACCTGGTGGGCATACTCTTGATATACTTTTCTAATGCCAGTGTATGGTCTTGATCCGTGAGCAGTGGTTAGATATTATTATTACAGGTTATTGTTGTTGAGGTTGGGACCACTGTTACTAAGACATTACCAGTACTTTCACATGCATTCAGTTACTCAGTGGCGTGTCTAAACTGCCATCTCCTGGGGAACTGTAGATACAGCATGTGAGAGAGTATCGACCAATTAAAATAAGTTTGTGTAAAATGAATTTAATGCATCAAATACACCTGTAACAACTTCAGCATGAGTTCATAGTAAACAATATTCTTATACACATTTATAACATTATAACATTTTAACACTAGACTTTTAGCACTTTCTAAAAACAAATAGTCTTCATTCTTTTGTGTTAAGTATATTTGTTGATTGATTTTGGAGTTCTGTCCGACTTGGTTGAAATTGTAAGGCTTGAACACAAAGTGCACCTGTGTATAAACCGCACCTGCTAAGTTTTTTCACTTGAATATAAGTTGCAGGTTTTTGTGTTGTAACTTAAGATTTAACCAACAATACTGTTTTAACAATTAAGCAATGTGCATGTTTTCTATCTGTACTAAGAGCCAATATAACTTATAATATAGCAAAACAAGGACTTGCTCCAAGTTGGGTTTGATCTGAACCAGTCCAGGACCAGATCGGAACCAGCAGATTCAGAAAAGCTGCTTTAACTGCCAAATAATGTTGGTTGCCATCCATCCATTCATCCATTTTCTTCCCCTTTATCCATTTCTGCGTCGGGGAGGTGGCAGTCAGAGCTGCACCCAGTTCACAGAGCACCAGCCCCTCACTGATCCTCCTGCAGGTGGTGAGTCCACAGGAGACTTGATCTTTCAGTGGGAGGTTCAGGAAAAGTGGGGTTAAGTGTCTTGCCCAAGGACACAACGACAGCAGTCATCAGTGGAAGTCGTAAAGTAGGTCTTCTGTTGGGCTCAAACCCACAACTTTCAGGCTCTAACAAAATAAAACTACAGGCCGCATGGCTTTGTAGACCGCAGGTTTCAAAGGACTTCTGGCGAGTACTGTAAATAATGGAGATGTATAATTCCAACAACACTTATTTAAAATGCAGTCTGATCGTGACATAATAACAGATATACAGTATAATATACAGTAAATGCGCTCTCGTAACATTCTTCAGAAGAATTAATGGCGTGTCTGAACTCGTCTTGTTTTGAACACTCTGGACCGGATTGTCTTACAAATGTTTATCAAAGCAAAAAAACTGGTTTAAAAATACAATCATTTTCATTATTGAGGAAACAGCATGGCCAATAGTCATAGTCTGTAACATTCAGTCATCTACAATACAGTCTCTTGTACTCTTGTATGTTTAAAAGGGGAGTGGCTAACAAAGAAATGTGATCTTTGGTTAGGAACGCATGATTAAACGTAAACTTTATTGAGAGGTGTAGTTTTAAGATTACGCAAGTGTACTATTTGTCATTGTACTTCCTTGTTCATCTTTAACCCAAAAAGCGGGAGGTGGGATACTTACTGTAACTGTGACTACATGTGAGAAGAATGTCCCAAAAAATATGCATTATTTCCACTGTAACACTAAACCATATCTGTGGCTTTATCTTTGAGTGATTAGAATGAGAGGGGATAAGGTAAAACGTAAGAAGAAACATGAAGCAAAGTGAGGTTACTTGACTTTTTGACCTGGTAACTTCCCAATCTTATCCCTACAGTTTGGGGGTCTCTTCACAAGCAGCTGGGTCCTCTCAGAGGGCAAAGGATGTTTACATTTACTCACTGTAGAAAACAGTGGAAAGTTCAAGTGGTTATCTCAATCTCAAGTTACTCTTAATGGAGACACATTTCTACGATTCTATAGTCCTTTGTCTGATCTTGTTCTTTCAATAATGACAGGAACTTTTACCAGAAAGCTTGAGTACCTAACTTTTTTGTTTCATAAATACATTTTGTCTGTCACCTCAGAAAGAGTCTTGCTTAAGTAACATTTTGTGGACAAACACAACATGCTGTCTCTCTTTAGCAAACAGAATTTATCTTTTACATATTGAGAGCGAGGGCTGAGTGAGGACTGGAGGACTGGAGGCCAAAAATGCTAGTGAATAATAGTTTTAGAACCAAACTGTTTTAAGAGTGAAGAACGAGTTACATGGCATTTTCAACAGTTAATTTAGTTCAACAATAAGGAAAACGGGACACGTACTAAAGTCTGCAGAGTGTATTTGTGTAGAACATCACTCAAGATCCCGGAGTTTCTTTCCCGTCTCGGTTGCGTTTCTGCAGCTATACAGCCATTTAATGACCCTGGCATTTCTCTCAATGACAGACGTCTCCTGCCGGATCTTCTCCAGCACCTCGTCCTCCTGAAGACCGCTGCTTTCCTCACTGCTCCTGGAGAAACCGTCGTCCGAGTCCGAGATGCTGACGCTTCTAATATGTAGCCCAGGCTCTTCCGAATGCACAGAAAAATTGTCTTTTCCCACTGTGTCAATAACATCACTGTCCAGCCCGCAATATTTAAAAAACCCATCAAAGTCTGCAAAGCTTTTTGAGTATCTTGAACTGATGTCGGAGTGGGAGCGACTCACCCCTTTCCCTGATCTTCTGATTTCCTCTACAGCTTTAGGAACCGTGAGTAAACTTGCATTTTCTTTATTATTTGTTGCAGTTACACTATTCTGTTCATGTAACCGAGCTCCATTGATTGTACATTCTTGTCTCCTGCCCTCAGGTGATGAAATTTGCTCTTTCTCTGACTCTTGCACGCTTTTGCTCTGTAACTTTCGCAAAATGTTGTGCCTTCTGTCACTGGAAGATTTTATTAAATCACATTTATGCCTGTAGAGGAGGAGAGAGTCTGGACGTTTTTTCGAGCTGGATCTCCGTACCTGTCCCGGTGATACACTTTGTACAGGGCCGCTGCTAACAGTCAATGGCATGTTACTCACAAGTTTCCCCTTGGAGCTCCGGTTGGATGAGCCCTGGCTGCTGACAGACACTGATCCGACAGAGATCACAGGTTCCTGGGTAGAGCTGATAACTTTCTGGCTTTTGACATACTTTGGTTTACTCATCGCAAGCCTCTCCACCGCACTCAACCCCGCTTTCGCCTCATTCTCCAACTCCATTTGCCTGCGAAGATATTCTGGACCACGTTCCAGAATTTTGGAAGGCGCAGTCGTCTCCATTGTTTTGGACGAGAAATGAAAAAGGTTTTCGGGAGTGATAGCTTAAAACTTTGTCCTTGTGGAGGGAAGTTAAAGAGATTCCATGTGAGTCCACTTCATGCCTGAGCTTGAACCAGTTCAGGAGAATTCACCTTGTCTATTCAAACACTGTTCATTACCCCACCCATTCCGCTCATTTTAGCCAAACAACAAGCCCGTTCAAAGTACACCTGATATCATCCAGTCCGAACAGTGAAAGCTGAGACTTACACGGTTTTCCCCACCTGAGACTTGTGGCTTGTCATACCTGTTGCTCAATACAGGACAAAGACTATCAAGCATTGTCGAAAAGCACAACTTTATGGCCTGACTAAGGAGGCAAGTATATCACACCATTCAAATTACTCACTCTCAAATTCAATAAAAAGAATTTATGTGTGAATTTTGGCCAGATATCAAAGTCAGGAATGTGTGAAGTGGAATGCGCAGATGCTCACGACATAGCATTTTAAATTAAATAAATTTCCCAGAACCTCTAAAATATTTATGACATGGTTTAGGCTGTAAAAGTGGTTTTGTCCAGGGTCTGGTTTGGAATATGTGTTAAGTGGGAATACAAGGGAAAGAAAAGTGGTTTTTAGCTTTGAACAGGGACAATATATGGGATAATGTTTTTCCTTATATGTTGGACATCATATCATTTTTTATCATTTTTAATGCCATACTATGGAACACTTCTGAAAAAATAACATTTGCAGAGACAGATATGGCAAACACGCCACCAAAAAAAAGTATACAGTATATAAGACTAATTTTAAAATGAGAATGTATAGGTTTTACTGAAACTGCAATAATATCACAAACTAGGAATGGATTTTGGTGCAAAGAAACATATACTGTAAAATAGAGTGTCAGTAACGTTTTGAGCGAAACTTTTTGAGCACAGGTACTGGTTAGACCCCGTCTGCAGCTTCCTAATTGGTCAAAATTAATTCAAATTCTTGAGGCCCCTTGTCATTGGTTTAACCATTCTCCTCCAGTAAATCGTATTGATCGAAGTTATGCGAAGGGGCGGGACTACTTTAAGTGTATTATTGTTGAAAAATAGTTACTGTACATGATAATACAGGGTCCTATGGTCGGAAAAAATACATTGTTTTGATAATGAAATACACTTGATCTGCAAAAAAATGTAATGAAATCTACAAACGGATGGCGGTGGCAGCTTGCTGAGCCTTATTCAGAACAGTGTGACATGTTTTTCTTTCATGTAAATAAAATGGAGTGGATGATTTGCTCCAGGTTTGAATTGTTTATTATTGGTTCATGATTATAACAGCTGCTGCAGGGGAATTTCTCGTTACCATCAGAACTCTTGGAACTCTTGTTAATCTACACAACAGGCATTACAAAAACCATGCCTTGTCCAAGTAAATGTCAAGAAACTTTATTTATGTTAATGTTTTGGCACAAAGAGCTAAAAACTGTCATGCATAATCAGATTTCCAAAAGGCAGGAGCTTCATAACAGCCTTTGGGCAACAGGGGGCAGCACTGCAGTATTTAGGGAGCACTCCACTCATCACTGCATCTCAAGTCACTGGACACAGGAATCATTTTGTCTAATACATACATATACAATACATGCTTTTGGAAGAAGAACAACTGGTTTATTCACCTCTCTTTTTTTATTCAACACAGACCGCCCCAGCAAGAGTAACACTAGTATAGTCACCCAAACATTTACTCAAGTTAGATAAAACAGAGCACTGTGTTACATTATTGACACGGAACTGCATAATTGTTCTGATTTACAGGCTGAACACAAAACACTACAAAAAATATTGAACATGAACTACGAGAAAATATTATCTCTCTATCTCTAAAGAAAAGGTAACCAAGCTTCAAAAAGAATATTGCTCATCTGGAAGTAAAAGTCTGGTGTCAAAAGACAACTGCACAATGTCTTGTGTTACTCAATAATTAAGTAAATGCGACCTCCTCACCTCCGCACATGGCTCTAAAATGAGTTTAATGCATCATCATTATCATATCCATTTTCAGTCCTGCTCAGATGTATTAATTTGTAAGATTATCTTTTGATTGGCTTCAAATATTCACTCGAGACATGAACATTTATTTAGATATCACGAAGAACATTTCACAATCCACAAGCTGAAGACAGGAATGACTGCGGTCTGTTATTGACATGATATGATTCAATTACTCTGAAAAGAAATGTCACGTCTTTTATAAGTTTGAAAAGAAAACATTGATTTTGAGACAGGTCTGGTCTTTATTTTTGATATATATGTTTTACTTGCTTCACACATTTATGTTTCGTTTTTCCTTTAATGGTTTTCTCAACCATTTGGGGCATCTCACTTGGTTTTAGACACTTTTACCATCAAACTACACCTCAACCATTCAGTAAAGACCTAGAATTTTAAAAAAAACATGACAACAAGTTATTTCTAAACCCCTCAGTGCATAGGTGTCAAATTCAAGGCCCGGGGGCCAGATCTGGCCCGCGAAGAAATCATTTTGGCCTCTGGGATGATTTTTGATTATTAATTTAATGTTAAGAACATTTTGTCTTTGAAGGAAGTTTGTTTTTAATAAAATATGGCACTGTGTGTTAGGTCTAGGTTCAATTATATGCAATCTTAATTTGTTTTAATAAACACTGAACCAGTCCGGCCCGATCGGCTTGTAGAAAATTTGTTGTTTTGGCCCTCTGATGTATTTAACTTTGACATCCCTGCCTTAGTGGATAGCACTCTCACTTCCCAGCAAGAAAGTCCTGGGTTTGAATCCTGGTGGAAATGGGGCCTTTGACTGGAGTTTGCATGTTCTCTCCGTGTCTGCGTAGGTTTCTTCCGGGTGCTCTGGTTTCCCCTACCACTAAAAACATGTACAATAGGTCTGGCATGCGCCTCCTGTTCGGCGACCCCGCTTCCATCTCTGTGTGGAGTGAGAGACAAATGCCCACAACAATTGTAAAGCGTGACTCTGGTCTGTGAAAGGCGCTATGTAAATAAGTTTTATTGCTTTCTTCAGAGAGTAAACATTAAAGGGTTAAAGATGCCTCGTGGGTGAATGCTGCTATTACTCCTGGTTTTTGAGCTATCGCTATAAGACCTGTTATTGTGTTTAATTTATTGTTGCGTTGTCCTGGTAAACACAATTGCTGACGCCATGAAGCCTTAGTCAGAGCCCCCTGGAGAATTCACACCTTTATTAAATCCCAGCTTCATTAGAAAAATATATTCCAAGACATAATATGATTGAGCATTGCTTTCCAATCGTTTGTATTTGGCCATACAAAACAATTACTGATCATCATCAACACATGAATGAAAGCTAATTAACATGGCTTGCAAATTATCAAATAGAATTCCAAAAGGCATCTTTTGCTTGTTTGAGTTATGTAAAATAACTATAATTTGTGTTTATGCATGCACCGCTAATGAGCGGCAATGTAAGGTCATCACACAGACTGTCTTCACATCAGGCACATCTTACTGTCAGCGAGACCTTGTAACTATTGAGCAATTTGGAAATATCCTACACTTAACTGGTTCATGCAGATCAATAAAAATAACAAAACAACACTATAAAAACTGACAATTTATAATGGGATTAAGCAATGAATGAGTTGCAGGTCGTAAACATGTGCCCAGAACAATAAGAAAAAACAACCACGTTGTGATGACAGGATTTCAATATGGCTTTATTATTTACGTCCGGTAATCCCTCGTTAATATCAAGAAACAGACAAAGGCAATTGGCAGATAGCTGTGTGAAATGAAAGCAGACCACACGGCACGTTTAGGTCCAACACTGTGATGGAGCGTGACAGGAGAAATAAAGCAGGCACGAGCACAGCACCAAACTTTGACTCATTTGTAGCTGTGTTTGAGAAAATAAAGACATCAGACTTCTCCGTCATGTCTGAATGGTGGTCATAAACATGGAAGGATTTAGAGTTAACATCTGCATTGAATGTGCTTCTGAGAAATGTGATACACTTTTAGGGCTGACGTCCCAAATGTGTATGGTCTTATTGTACCCGATGACAGTTCTTGGATAGTTCTATATGATAATACTCAGATGAGAAAACAACATATAAATGTTGCTGGTCCCTGCTGGTTTTATGCTACCACCCTCTTAAAGAATGAATATGCAAATGGTGAGTTATAGAACTTTTTACCGTTAAAATAAAGTGTCCGTATGTGAGGTCAGCCTTTACTTTCCATCACTGTGGTCTGTAGGATGTTATTGGATCAAAAGTTTTTCTCTGCTGAGGGACCCCGGCACCCGAAAACCTACAAAACAATTGATCCTGGCGCATCTTACAAAGTCAACCAGGGGTAAAAGTTTCCAAGTTTCTTAATGTTTCTCTCTCACTGTCAAATGATTGTTAGTTATTAAGGGAACTCTTAAACTATATATTTTGGATGTAATATGCCACCTAACTCACAGCAGACAGCAGTGGGAGAAGATGGTAGGTCTCGTCAGGGAACCATCACAGACCAATGCTCTACCCGCTATTTCCACTATTGCCCCCAATTTCTGAACAAAAGTTTAAAATGGATTTAATCTTCATTAAACATTCAACGGAGAATGTGTCCACACTTAAGGGGAAGAAAATGGATGGATGGATGGATGTGTCCACACTAAAGTAAGTGTTCATGCAGATTATACAATCTGAGAAGATAGAGAGAGGCTCTTGTTTGGGTTGCCAGTTTTGAAATGTTGCTGGTTGTGGCTTTATTTTCTTTTTACAACAAAATTCACAAACCAAAAAAACAGAATCACAAATTTGTGTAAATGAAGCAGGTGAAAAAATAAGTTGTTATGTGTAATGCACAGTGTACACAGTGTACTCCAGCCAGTGGATTGCATCTGTAATCAGTTACATGTGTCAGAGGCAGGGAGACTCAGGCATCAAAAGCTGGATTATAATTGTGAAGACTTTATTAAACCACTAAGAGGCCATGTTACATACAGTCCCTTTAAGCAACTGCAGCTAACAAAAGGTGTAGTCATCATTGGTTTTAGTACAAGAAACAAGTAAAGCTGTTGTTCATGGGCATGAAATTAAGGAAATGTTGTGTACACTGTGATGACTATGCTTAAAGATAGACTTGAAAGCTTCCTTTTATTGGATTTATTAGTTGTTTTAAATAATTTTCCCAACACTAAATAGAACTTTCTGAACAGATAATCTCTTCAAAGAAATCCCTGTTGGTAACAAACAAGGAAATACTTATTTTTGAATCATCCAAAACAAATGCTTGAGATTCTTTTTCAAATTCCCTGTCTGGAATCCCTCAGGACCGAGATAAGCGCTCATTGTCTGTAACGTTTATTCACTTAAATAATTTTACCCACAAGACCATATAATAATAGCACCATAAAAAGTATAACCACAGAATCATTGTGGCATAACGAGCATCTCATACTGTAGTTATTCATCTGAAATACACAAAAAGAAGCTAGATTGTTATTGTACTGAATATAGTTTGTAAATCCAGGATACAAACACAACAATAGACTTTAAAGCAGCTCTGTTTGTGCCTCTCCATGGCCAAAGTACATCTGTGACCTGTTAGTTCCACATAAACCAACTGAGCACAGGGACTGGCCTCCTGCTGGTTCTCAGAGTCAGGACTAGGCATGGGGAGTCAGCAATTCATATTTATGCTGCAAAATCTGGAAAAGTCTCCCCAAGCTAGTAAGTCAGGCGACGTCCCTGGTAAGGTTTAAGTCTAGGTTGAAAACAGTTTTATTTAGCTGTGCATATGAATAACTTTGAAGCATTTATGTTTAAATGTTCTATTTTTTCATGTATTTACTTATCAATTTTATTCTCTGTTGTTATTTGACATTTATTGATTTTGGCTTGTGACTTAAGGTCACACTGTCTGAATTGTGCTTTATGATTAAATTAGATTGATTGATTGATACAGATCAGTGAAAAAGGCTTAGTGCCTACATAAAAGACCTAAAAACGTGGATGACTCTACTACACTACATTCTCCTTTACCCAGAGAAGACAGAAGGGACCCTACTCGGTCCGAAGTGTCTGCGCGATTCCCTTGCCGACCAGATAATCATGTTAGAGTAGTACCTAGCAACACTGTGAGGAATATTGGGGTCGTAATGGACCAAGAAATCTCCTTCAAGGCTTATATAAACCAAGCAACTAAAACGGCGTATTTCCACCTGCACAACATAGCTATAATCAGGAATATCCTTCCTAAAAGTGACGCGGAAAAACGAATCCAAGCTTTTGTCACCTCAAGGCTTGACTACTGTAATGCTTTGCTGGCAGTGTCCCCTAAATGCTCTTTAAAGATCTTCCAGCTCGTTCAAAATACAGCAGCAAGGATACCAAAAGAAGGGAGCACATAACTCGAGTGTTAAAATCACTCCAATGGCTACCTGTGGAGTATAGTATAGAATTTAAAATCTTGCTTTTGACATACAAAGCCATAAATGGCTTGGCTTCTTCCTACCTCCAAGACATATTTGTGTCATATCAACTAAACCAAGCACTGCGCTCACAAAACGTCAGACGTCTGGTGGCTCCTAAGGTTTCAAAAAGCACTGTTGGAATCAGCTATTGTTTACTGTGGAATCAGCTTCCCATCCACGTTAAGGAAGCAGGCACAGTCTCCATATTCAAGGCCAGGCTTAAAACAGGTTAGGTAGGTAAGACTCAGGGAAGACTAAAAATCTTAGATTCAGTCAAGCTGTGTATGGAGTCAGTCTGCTGGGAGAAGTGTGGTAACTTGAGCACTATCCTCCCCTCCTTCATACTTTACCTGTCTGCATTATTAGGATTTTGACTGTAGTCTGTTCATTGCTATTCACCCATAGTCACATTGTCTGTCTCATGGCACGACGATGGGACCCCTGAAACCGGCCCCCTCCATCTGCACCTGCGAACTGCCCTGCCCTATGGGCTGCACCCCCTCCCCGCCTGGAAGCTGCTTCAGTCCCGCACCACACCTGTCCTCGTTCTAAAACCGGAGTACTGAGCCGCGTGGCCTTGGTCCTCGTTCTGTAGCTTAAGTCCTGGATCTACAGCCCTTCCGTCCGTGTGGAGCGGATCTCTCTGTTGTTCTCCCCGAGGTTTCTCACTTTTCTCCCACTGGGTTTTAGAGTTATTCCTTGCCGATGCAGGAGGGTCTGTCAGGGGTCTAACAAGAAGGACTGGGGTGATGATCCAGGAAACTCTACTTTCAAAAACACTTTATGGACATGTATCAACATTCATGGACCTGCCTTTCCTCTCAGATAAATGTTTTATTTTATTATTTTTTCACAATAAACCACACTCAAACAAGCTTACACACACAGAGACACACACGCAAATGCATGTACACAGTAATTTCTCACTGAAAAAAGATTGCCACCAAGGCCACAGGCAGCAGACAACATTAGAAAAGTAGCACAATGCACCTCAAAGAATTGGGCAAATGGCCACACCCGCAGGTGAAAGCCAGATCCCGTCAGACCCCTGAAGCTAAGCAGGGCAGGGCCTACAGTACCTTGATGGGAGACCTCTGGGAAGACCAGGTGCCACAATGGGACGGCTGTGGCTTCAAAGTGGCACACTGACAGAAGTGCTTTGCTTCTGTCAGTGTGCCCCAGGGCAATTGTGGCTATAGTAGTTGTTTATCACCACCGTATATGGAATGAAAGAATAACGAGATATAGTTAAGCGTCTTTGAGTCTCCAAAAAGCGCTATATAAAACTGATGCATTTTCATTAAGGAATTGTTTTTATTTTAATTTTGGTTGGTGTAAATTAAAATAAAATAAAACAAATTAATAACTATTTTAATAACAATAGCCCTCTTCAATACCACGTATTGACTCGGGCTAATAAAAGATGCCATGTAAATACAGTTTAATATCCTGCGTGTTCTCCTGTATTAATTCCAATGCAAATAGGAAAGCATGGTACCCTGGTACTCAGATTACCTTCCACACATGCTTCTGTTGGCAGCTCTTCTTCTAGTCATAGGCATAGGTGGCTTAATAAAAAAATATTTTCTCAACATAATTTCCCTGTGTGAACATTGATTAAAACCATGATAGACTGTAAATATTAACAAGCATGCTCAACTACAATTACAAATTCTGCAACTAGTAATTCAGTTACTAGTTAGTTACAAAAGAAAAGCCAAAGGGTAGACAAGAGACAAGACAAGACATGAGAGGAATCTTGTTTTATTCAGGCGCTCATTGGTCACCTCTGTAGGACCCCTGTCACAGCATCATGGCGGCCACTAATGCCAAGTCCGTGTTGTTCGTTTGTTTGGGTAAGAAACACACTTGAAACCTGTCAACAACGATTTTTATGAAAAGACCGTTTGAAACTTTGAAACCAATAGTGTTATTTTATCGCAGAAATGTAATGATGTGAAACAGTGGACGTTTTGTGGCGCTTCTCCTGCAGAGAACTGGGGTCTCTGCTTATTGCGCTGCAGTTTTCTCTTAGTGGATCGTGTTTTTGTTTGTCTTTTATCATCAATATTTATGAAGTTTTACATGACTGCTGTTACATGCATGTGTCAGCTTGAGAGGTCATTCGCTATACTAGTTCATACTTTGTTAATGAATAACCTTTGCGTAGTTTACCTGGCATTGCGCAATCAGGCACGGATCTATTTTATAACATTTTGCCAAATATGCCACGCCTTGACGAGAGGAAGTCTTTATTGCACTGAGACTAGTATAACCTCATGCATCATTACAGAGAACAGGCTAGCATTAATTCAGTCATTGAGGTTGGCCTCCTTCTGCTTCTTTCTTTGCTGAAGTTCCAGCATTGCTTAAATATATGTGAAGTAACCAACTAATCTTGATAATCACTGAATTGGTAATCACTCATGTATGACATCTCAATTTGACCCAGATAAATCTGAAGTGAAGCTGCTGGAGGAAATCCTAATGGAGATTTTTTTGGGGGGAATTGTTAAAATGATTTCTATGTTTCATTGTTTCTGCTCTGTCGTCTAGAACATGGCTTGGATTCATGTTGCAACAAATGCTCTATAAACAGCCCCTGTACTGTTTATAGATCAGTTTATGATTCATCAATTACTAAAGCCACATATTGTTGTGTGCTGCTTTACAGATACGATTCTATGTAACATCTGTTTTTTCAGGTAATATATGTCGATCCCCGATAGCGGAAGCTGTCTTTCAGAAGATGGTAGCTGACGCCAAAGTTGCAGATCAGGTGATCATTTATAGAATATTACCATAACATGTTTTTTTTAACAGTGTAGCCTTTTTTTTAAATATCAAAAATGAGTATAGATTACACGTATTAATTTGTTTTATTTTTTAAAGTTATCTATGCACAGTTTACACATTTTCTGCTATTATCTATTATTTAACAAATGTCTTTTTTGTAGTCCTCAAAGTGATCAATTGATTTAAAAAATAAAAATGGAAATGAATTATCTTTGCAAAATGTATCTTTCTGTTTCGCATGCTTGTCTCTTCTCTCTAGTGGAGAATAGATAGTGCTGCCACTTCGACATATGAGATAGGAAGCCCTCCTGATCACCGTGGGCAGGCCTGCATGAAACGCCATGATGTACCCATGAGGCACATAGCCAGACAGGTACTACAACTCACTTGCTGATAGCTAGCCTCTCTTTTCTTCTATCTTTGTTACAGTGGGTCATAGACAGTGGTGCCACTTCTGACTGGAACACAGGCAGCTCCCCAGATTCCAGAGGCCTGGCTTGTCTAAAGAAACATGGCATTGAAACCAGCCATAGGGCACGACAGGTACAATGGGACAGGTGCAAAAAGGGAACAAAATGGATATACATATTTGAGTTATTTACCTGAAAAGGCCAATGCTTTAGTTGCACGTACAGCTCAGATATGGGTGCACTCAAAAAAATCTTAATTGATCCAACAAAAACAAGTTCATGTAATGTTTTTGATTTCACTTTCACTTACGTTTATTTCTTTCTCCCTATTTTATTCAGTATTATTTGTCATACAGTACTGCACCTGTTTGATTTAGTAGGACAACAAAGTCCTGTAACATCATCCAATGCCTCTTTGTCTTTTGATTATAGGCTTTTTTAAACGTTAATAACATTTTGGGACCGGGAACTTATTTGTAATGTGTATATAATCTATCTAAGGCAATAATAATAAAAATAATGGAAAGATACTTTATAGATCCCATTAGGTGAAATTCCGGTAGTAATAACAATAATAATAAAAATAATAATGCATTGGTTTTTAACAGTTTTTTGGACACTCAGACTCTTCATATATCATTATTAGTTCACTGTACTCAGTGTCACAACTAAAGTCACAACTGCCCTGGGGCAGACTGCCAGAAGTGAGGAAACCAGTACATGCCACTGGCCCCTCCGACCACCACCAACCATTCACGCACACACCAGACTCATTCTAGCAATGTGGGTGAAGTATCTTGCCTCAGGGCACAACAACAGTTTGGCACTTTACAGCCGCCACCCCACTATGTGTTCCCAGAGGTCTACCATCACAGTACTAACCAGGCCCTGTCCTGCTTAGGCAAGTCCTTAATGCATTTTTTCATGTAATGTATAAGTTGACAGAAGAATAACATGATGTAGTTCATTACATCAAAAAAGAGCATTCTAGATCCTGAAATGGAACAGGCCTTTGAAACGACACGTACTCGTGTGGTTCCAGTCAGTACATCGAGAGGCTCTGCTGCTCTGCTGTTTCTATGATGCTTCAGCCAATATTTATAATTGAAAGTCAAGTGAAATAATCATACAAGTATTCTGCTGCTCAACTGCTGCTGTGTTGTGCAATCATCTAAAAATGTAGTTGTCGCTTAATATATCATCGATAAACCAAAACGATTTAAACGAGGATTTAATGACACAAAATAATTACAAGATATACGCAGATGTAACGGAAAATGACCCAGACATACACACAGAGGCTGAAGGGTGGAGAGAGAGAGGATCTGGGCCTCAGCAGCAGCCTTCAGCCACATGTTGTTCAGAGAGATGGTCCACACACACAGAGCGAACGGTGAGCCACCTCCTGTATATCAGCCGTGATGTCACACTCGATTGGTCAGAAAGGACAGCGGGACACAGTGGTGATGGCAGAAAATGAATCCTAACAAACCTAATTTGTGATCGACACTATTTCAACCAGTGGATGTGTTTGCGTTTGTTTTTCATTGACCGTTGTCCTTGGTCTGATAATGTTCAAAAACACTGTTGTAAGTGCATTACTTGTCATACACCATGATTTGTCCGTAATAATAATTGCACCTGTTCCTATTTATTTTAGATTCTTCAGACAAGTTGTTCAATTCTCACAATTAGAATCTCATGTTGATTTTGTGTATTATTTAATCATCTGTCATGGATTGGGATGTACATTTAATTTAAATGGGGATGAGAAATAAAAGGTAATTTTTGTTTCTCACATAATTTAGAACTCTGGTCAGAGACTTGATTGTTAATGTTTAAAATTGTGATTTTGGAATAAGGGATAAGTCCTGGTTTTTCTTTTCCTTATACTAGTATTTTTTTTTTTTTTTAGATGGGTATTGAAGGATTCCCATCTGTTTCTAATTGATCTAAAGTAACAGATGTGACATTTGTGCCTCCTCAGGTGACCAAGGACGATTTCCAGACCTTTGAGTATATTCTGTGCATGGACGAGAACAACTTAAGGTATGCTGCTAGTGCTAGATCTGTTTTTACCTCCATCCATGCTAATGATGATTATAATATGGTTTTATATGTTTTTCTCTGTCAGTGTGCCCCAGGGCAGCTGTGGCTACAGTAGTAGTTCATCACCACCGTGTATGGAGTGAAAGAATAATGACATGTGAAGCGTCTTTGAGTGTCCAAAAAAGCGCTATAAAAAACCGATTCATTAGTATATCGGTTTTATGTGCCACATTTTGGACATTTAAAGGCTCTTCACATGGCATTATTAATTGCTGCATACAAAGTAGTGACAAACAGGTTTTGTATGCATGGCTGCCCTGGGGCTGACTGACATTAGTGAGGCATACCAGTCTCTGCCATCGTCCCCTCCGACGACCGCCAACCATTCACTCACCCACACACCCATGTACACAACAACACTGACTATGACTCAGTATGACTGGATAACATTTTTGGGTAAAAATCTAGCAAAAGATCATTTACCACTTCAACCGCTAGAATAGGGCGTTTGCTTCGTCTACTTTTTCAAAATGTCATATTATTTATTCTAAATATTCTCAACAATATGCTTACTCTGGCATCTGGAAAAGGGACAATATGTGTTTTTTATTAGAAATGTGTTCTCTTGAATGTCAAATAGTGCACACAGACCAAATCGAAGGTAACTTTGAGCTAAAACTAACTTGTAGATGAATGCCTCCATTTAATGAGCAATATCCTTTCTTAAGCCCTTTCGAAGGTCAGGGGGGAGGGATATTTTTTGCTACTTTGAACGTTTAGGGATCATTTTGAGATCACATGCCCATGGCAGATCTAGATCTGTAAGCAGCTTACGGAGTTCCTTAGATGCCTTGTCTTTGCTCTTTGGGAAGTTTTTCTCTCACACATATTTTTCTCCCCACAACATTGACCAAACCGAGAAATCCAATCTCTTTTAGACAAAAGAGGGGACAGTCTGTTTTATGTTTGTGATGTTTTTGACTGTTTTTGCAGCGGAGGATGCTGTTCTGTGGTTGTCATTATGGCTTTTCTCTAGCGTGTAACATGTTTACTAAAATAATATATTGTGTTTTGTAGTGACTTGGAAAAGAAGGCCAAGTCTGTACAATCTGCCAAAGCCAAGATTGAGCTTCTAGGTTCATATGACCCTCAAAAGCAGCTGATCATCAAAGACCCTTATTATGTAAGTTCACAGCTTTTGCACTCACTTTCTGATTAGATATAGTTCACATTAATGATCTCTCATCAAAATGTAGATGTAATATAGAAAATATTAACTCAAAAACATGTATTTACTATTCTGTTTAGGAGCTGTAACTTTCAACTTGTTTCTTCTGATTATTCTTTCAATTTATCGATTAGTTGTTTGAACACAAATGTGTTAAACCCATATTAAGCGGACCGATCCTGATAGATATTCAGACTTTTATCAGTAAAAATGAAACTTACAGAATCTCAGATGATTTGTCATTTGTAATGTATAATTGCACATAGTTTGGAGACTGTTCTTAAAGCAGTTTACGATGAATGGATTACTAAAATAGTTCTGGAATATTTGAAAAACTCTTGTTGTGATGAATCCATTCAGTGATTGCTTGTAAAGTGCTAATTGAGTTGGACATGGGTTTCTAACTTTGTTTAAAAACATTAAACAAAAAGCTTAATGTTATCGTGAAAGTGGTGACGGAGGATTCAAGGGTGATTTGTGAGAAGAATGTGTTACGCTGAAAAAGCCAATATGTTTTACATGAATGAGCACTTATGTCATCCATCATAATCTTCGATAATGCAGTGTTTATTGAGGATATCTGGCTCACGCTGTGCCTCAGGCTGTTGGCTGTTGTTGGACGTTGGGTGCCTTCTTGTGGTGCATTATTGCACTTTGTGGGTTGAGGACAGTGAAAAATAACTGGCACCACCATATTATTAGTGACGTGGCTTTAGGAAGCTGTGGTGGGCCGCAGGTTATGTGACTGTAGTCAGTCATATTAATTTGTCTCAGAGTTTGGCATAAAACAATGATTTTCTGTGTGTTCAGCCTAAGTGACTCTCTGCCCTTACTTGACAGAAGAAGAACGAATGCTCTTTACAGTCCGTGTGGTCTGGTTATCGGGAATCACATAGGACAGTTGGCTGCACAGGGTTCTCTGGAGCCTCATGGAGGCAGTTGCTGACAACATGTCAAGATAATCAGAGACCCTGTGGTCAAGTAGTTCCACTGTCAATAAAATATCAAAGCAGCATGACTAAAACTGTAGCCTCCAAAACTGTCATCAGATCTCTCTAAAAACAGCCACTTGAAAAACTCAAAATGGCTGTTTCCTCTTTTAACGCACTGCTACTGGTCTCGCCACGATTTCAAAGCAAATAGTTTATTTAACATTTCCATATCAGCTTTTTGTATCTTATTAACATATTTCCGTGTTGGAATTCTTCTTTTAAATCCAAAACAACGAATGATGCTGTTTCTCTGCCTGTGTATGGTCCCTGATCCCTGAGTGCAGAGATGGGATGATGGTTCGTGGAGAGACCATGTCTAACCGTTGTGACCTCAGAAACAAGGGCTGTATTTTAGTACTATTTTAGTACTATTTTAGTAATCAAACTCTACACAGACTGGAACATGTACGTGCTTATTAAATGATCCACTGGCTCCAATGCTTTAGTAATTATTGCATTTCTTGTGTTCTAAACCACTAACTTATTTAATCCGAAGAATACTATTATTCATACAATAATTTGGCGAGCTGACATAATTGTGCTTAAACATGGGTCTGACTGGTTTATAGATGTTTGAAAGACTATGACTCATGTTGATTTCTATACAGTAGTTTTCCGTTCTGTTTGGTTTCTTTACACGCGCTAAGGTTGTATCATACTATTCTGCACACCTCTACTTGTCCAACATCACGTGTCGAGGTGTGTTACTTTTGTAATTTTAAACGGATCGTCTTCTTGTTTATTTATTCTTTAGGGAAGCGACAAAGACTTCGAGACGGTGTACGAACAGTGCGTGCGATGCTGCAAAGCTTTCCTGGAGGCGAACTCTTAATCCAAACGACCTCGACAACATTCTAGTGTATATAGAGAGAACCCCGTTAGCACCTTGCTACTGTTTTAACTACAATGTGATTGAAGACATCTGTAAAGTGACCAATAAAAACTTTAAAATATATATGTTTTTGAGCAACATATGTCGTTGCCTTTTTGGGGATGTGTAACACTAAACATTAGTACCCACTTGGAAAACATGACAACCATCACTTTTTGTAACAACCTTATAATTTACTTTAAATATAACTTTTCTTTTAAAGACACATTTGATAAATGCCAGTCATTTAATTTACAATATGTAAATATTTTTTCTGTTTAAAATTGTCATGTCTTTATGTTGTACAGTGTGGACCATAATATATAAATATAGACTTTACCAACACAACCAAAAATCCACAGTTATGTGACGTAGCACTAAAGTCTTTCTCTGAAGCATCAATGTTTGTGTTTATACGTTTGCAGCACAATCAACTTCACTTAAAGCAGTGCGCTGGATGGACACATTCATACAGTGGACAGTCCGATGCTCTGGGCTTGTCAGAGAAATTGGCAAAAAGCCATTCCTTTTAGTTTTAGGAACAACTTTTTTTTTAAGTAGCTGTAATCTTATCACAGCCTTTTATCTTTTTAATCTTCCAATTTCTCCATGTATGTCTTGGTTTGCTGCTCCCCGTGATTATGTCCAACCAATGAGGTATGCCGAGAGTGGGCAGTAATCCTTGTCTGTGATGGACGCTTCGGAGGAACAAGGTAGAGCAGAAAATCACTCGGGAATGGACAATCCGTTCTGCCCCTTTTTCTGCATCTCAGGCACTTATTTACCAAAAGTTTTCTTTCTTCTGGCCAACTCCAATGATTCTGCCCCCTAGTGTCACAAACAAACAATCAGTTTATAGAAACGTGTTAAAACAATCAGCCCTAGATAAACACATCCTACCCAGGAAATGAGATTGGCACAAATTATTAGTCTGTTATGACTCCTTTTGTTATCATTATTATTTGGATTCAATCAAACACCCGATGTACAGTTATGCCACGTTAGTCTAAAAGTGTGATTTGTCATTACCTTGTTTGTGCTATCCCTCGAGACACTGTTGACTGCCTGCTAACCGGGTAAGAAGCCGCGCACACCGTTTGAAATCTGAAACAAAAAAACAAATGCCATTGGTATTTATCCACAACAGCCTTTTATTGACAATGTGAGGAGATTGTGTCTTACATGCTGGTTTTGTGCAGTCTCTTGTCTGGTGGTAAAGTCTGTATGCATGCTTTCTACACTTCTGACTGAAATAGAGGGGACCTATAAAGAAAATAGTATGATTACAGCTCTTTCTCACTTACTTCATCACCTGTAAAAGTATTCAGATGTGAAAAAAGTCCTTACCTGTAATGTGCTGGAGGAACTGCTCCTTCTTCTTCAGATTCTGAGGGAACACTACAAAGAAATAAGAACAGTGTTTAAATCATGTAAAAAAAAAAGTATGAACTGAAAAAAACAGTCACTTGAGACTGGGCACTTTTGTTATTCCCTTCTTAAAACAGTGTAATATTGTGTTTAATTTATTTACAAATGGTTTGATTAATTAATGTTTGTTTAACTGGAACTTTGGCTCCTTGAACACCAGATCACAGCATCATTAACTGAAAAATGGTTTGTACAAATACATAGTTTTCACCTCAAAAATGTAATTGGGCACTTTCAAACCTTCCCAAGAATAATACGCGTTTAGATTTGTATGAGCATAACTGTTTTTTAAGTTTGATTGTGGCTGTACTCAGGGACGAGGCTGAGCACCCCTGAAAACTATGTCAAGAACCTCTAAAAGAATAGGCAAAAACATTTAGGGGGATTTTTAAAACTCATTTAAATGTGAATTTATATAAAGTGAGATCTGTTGTTGTTTTGTAAAGTACGCTGGGCTGCAGTTAGACCACCCTCCGATTGCAATGCTCTGTCGCCAGCACAGGAAATAGATTGGTGTGTGTGTGTGTGTGTGTGTGCTCTATGATGTGTGTGTTTTGGGGTCACACACATACTTCTCTCACTACTTATCACACACGTTCATGTTTTTTTTTCTAGACAAAGCCTCGCCTCCTTTGAAAATATCCAGACCAACCTTAGCTCTGTTACAACATCTCTAACTATCACTCGATGAGATCAAGGAGCATAGAAGATGATCATTTAGATATATTATTATAGATAGAAAAGTGAATGACACAATTTCACAAAAAAAAAAAACTATTTCCACTTGTGTATTTCTGTGCAGCCTGCGGCAAGCAAAGCAAGGATGGATGTTAGAATGTTTTTTTCTCAAACAAAGATAAAGCCTCGGGAGGTTTGTGTAATTGATATGACATGGTTTAAAGAACAGTAAATGGGAAGTGAAAATATGTGTGTCCTCATATAACACACTTTTGACTATGAGTATTATATACATATAAATGTGCCAGAATACAGTTTATCTGATCTGATTTTGTGTTCTAAATTCTAAATTCATCTCTAACTGTTATTCAATAGTGTACGTCATGCATATTAAATGTGTATTTTGGTAAATGGCAGTAGAAGGGATGGAGGATAATGAGCATGATGATCAGGGGCAGAGAGAGGGAGAGCAGCAGAAACATACTAGCGCTAAACTACACATATTGGAGTTGTGTGAGTGATGGAAATAGAAATTATGTTGAATCTTTGCATATTTTGAATGACCCCCCCTTCCCCCAAAGGTGCCCAGTCTCCCTGAAGCTGACAGTCTTATAAGATCACCCCTGGTTGTGCTATATTTGTGTTTATGGGACTCTCATTGGGAACTGCCTACATTCAAATAAAATACATTGACATTCCCCTCTGTGGGACGAGTACAATATCACTTTAATAACTTTCTTGATCCGTGCAGAACTATTGCAGAGTAATGAGGTGTATAGATTATTACAAATACTATAAAATGCAAATGCCTTATCAACAATAAAGCTTGACTCACTTATCAGCCAGTCTTGTAAACAATATATCAGGGCCCTCTCCCCTCACACACCTGCTTGCTCTCGGTCTGTCCTGGAGCTGCGGAAGTCCCTCGCCTCCAGAGCTGCAACTCTGCTTCGCGACGATAAGCGGGACTCTCTCCTGGATCCGCTCCGGGCCCGGGTCTCCTCCACTCGCCTCACCGCTTCCACCAGCCTCCGGTACTCATCCCTCTCCTCCCGCTGCTGCCGCTGCTGCGCGTACCCCGTGGGCGACGCTCTCGAGGGCGCGCTCCCGCTGTAGTCCAACAGCGCGCACAACAGCAGCAGCACTAGTCCCATGGCAAAGTGCGTACGCGGACCCGGCATAGCTCCGTCCAAAGAAGACGCACGAAAATATACACCTTTTTTACACGTTTGAGTTGGCAATCCGAATACCTGGAAGAAATACAGCGATGGTTAATGATGATTATGTTAAGTATATACAATAACATTTTATAGAAATATTTACTAAACAAGATGACGAAGTTGTATGAATAGGTCTATAGGTAATCTCAATAATCGCATATCAATGGATGAATAGATAATAATAGCCTAATCTAATGGACGAATTGGTCAAACAACACGAATACAAACTTAAATATTTATTATATTTGTTCCTGTAGAGCTCTAGGCTGTGGTATTGTCTCCTCCGAATAACTTGGGAAAATGTTCTGAGTAAAGAAGTCTCCAATAACATCATCACACAATAACAGAATGTAAACAGTAAAATTGTCGACCCCACAGTTACCTTTTATATGTCCAGATCTGCCAGAAAGTCCAGAAAAGCTTTGGGGTGAGAGAAGTGGCGTAAAACCTGAGCCTTGTCCTACCTTGGTGCAGCAGTGTCCTCTGATGGCTGTGTCTCTTGTGCCGCCTCCAGCCCGCTGCGCGCCCAGTGCCCCCTGAAAGTGCCGCTCACTTTTATTTGGCCTCCACCGCTGTGATGATGACCTGTCCCAGGAGACTCACTCAAAATCAACAAGATGCGTTATTTGCACTGGTCCATCTCTCTTGAGTCCACTGACTATCGCATGGTCGCTGATCCTTCTTCTTCTGCTGCTGCTGTCCTTTCTTTCTTTCTTTTTCTTTTTTTCCCTTTTTTGTTTACTCCATTTGTTGCTGCGATTAGGAAACGTTTATCCCGCTAATACTTCCAGAGAATACGTCCTCTCGATTATGCAGACACCAGCATCTTTGGTCCTAAAGAAGATTCCCATATAACTCGCAATAGGAGCCGAGCGCTTCACGGGTATTCGGTCCATTTATCGGGTGGTTTTATGATAAGTCTAATTTACGCGCGACTCTCTCAAAGTTCATGTGGTAAGTATAGTCAGCCGCTCCACAAGCTGTGGTACACAGAGGGATTGGTGCAGATTTGTGCGGTCGGCTCCCAGCTAAGGGCGTGTAATTGGGCCCCCCTCCTCACATGCCCACCCCTGAACCGAAACGGGACTGAGTATATACTTGTGGACAACTTTGGAATATAAGCGTAAAGTAAATTAATTCCCTTTTATAGCTCTAATGAACAATGGCAAAAAAGATAATCCTTGGACCTCTGCATGGGTCATGTTTTTAGCTCATTATCAGAACAGATATCCATACTGAAACTATTAAGTACTTACCTTGCTAATAGAAGTGTGAAATTAATCCCGTTATGACGACTAAAAGGCCTATTAGACATTACCAATGAGTGCAGCATCCAATTTGGGTGAAATAACCGCACATATATTTCTAGTATCCCAGTGCATAAACTATTTCTAATTAAGCTGTTGGCCGGCAGTTTTGAATACAAGTTTAATGAAGTATAAACAAGTTGATGTGTGTGTTCACTTTTGTCAATTGTAACCGAAAAAAGTTGCACAAAACAATCACACTGTATACATACATCATGTGACAGATTAGATGTTGTAAAACCAAAAAAAAAAAAAATCTGACTTATTCAACTTTATGATTTCCCTTCTTTTCAATGCACACTTCAATCAAAATGTTTTTTTCTTGTTTATTGTAGCTTGTCAAGTGCTGGAGTTCAAACCCTTAAAAGCAGTCACATGTGAAAGTATGTCGTTCAGCAGTGATTCATGCTCATGTGACCAAAAAGCCCATGTGGTTGTGTCCTGGAAATAGCTGACGGTACCCTCGTCTTTACGACATTGTTCCCTCATCGAACCAAACCTGATGCTGTTTTTAGATCCATCCAGGGTGATATCACAAAGGCTCCTGTTTCAGTCCTGTATTATGTCATTGTATACACTATGACATCACGTGTTGTCCATGAATTAGTTTGGTCATTTGTTAATTGAAGCAGGGCTGTGTTTGTAGCTGGTCATTTTCAAATTAGCAAAATGTAAATTACAGTAACAAATGAATCTTCTTCCTGTGGTGGGAGCACATGGGAGAGAGAAAACCAACACCATTTGATTAGTATTTATTATTACATTTTATATATTATATTTATCCATTAGACAAAGACAAGATAGACTTTATTGCAAACATGTTAAAGGCAAAAAATATAGTCTGTGCAGGATATTATAAAGTGGCAATTAAAGAAACAGTGGTAATAGTAGTGCAGGTTTTTTTGTCCTAGTGCAAGTGACTTAAAGTGACTTATTGTACAGTCTAACAGCAATGGGGATAAAGGCCAAAACATTATCTATGTTTTAGTTTTATTGTTATTTATACATGATTACACAAGTTGACAGCCAAAAATGTTGGTGTTCTGAGTCCGAATATCACATGCATTTTGCTCTATCAGGTCAACTTTTTGAGATACAGCCACAGTGTTACGGATTATGTACTGTACTTCTACGTTTTTATGAATTCTGCTTATCAAATTTGATGGAGTAAATAAAAATTGAATGACTTTGGATACGTTGACTTTTATTTCTTGAGGAAAACGGAAAAAACGTCAAGGGTTTCTCAGCTGATGATCCGCAGAAATTTGTTTTTTACGCAAAATCGATTAAAAAAAATATTTCTGTAGCAAAAAATCCTGACCTGATTGAGCAAAACCAAGGTCATTTTTGGACTCAGAGCATCAAAATTAGTCTAATTCAGCTGGAAAACCCTGGACTATTTTCAAAAACAATTTTTTTTGTTGCCCAGTGTTATTATTTTCCCACTGTTACCTCTGGGGGAGCCGTCTGCACTTGGTCCAGGGTCATCCCCTGTGGCTACAGGTGTCTCGCTGCTCCTGGTGCAGACAGCTCCTTAGATGGCGCTTCTTCAGTTGGTTACTCCGGCCCCAAGCCCTATACTGGTACCAACTATGGTACAACAATGGCCGTGGTACTGCAGACTAAATTCACGAGGGCTACCCAGAAAAATGTCCCATAGAACTCAATGTAAATCAAAACAGCTCGACCTCAGCTGACAGAGACTCTACAGCTTTCATAATGGTCGGATTTTGAGGGGATTTGTTTCCCTTGTCATCCTGAACTTTTTTTCTTCTTAAATCCTTCAGTTTTCTTTAAATCCACACTTTACTGCCACAAACTCTGCTCCTTTCCTTCCCGCTCTGACTCCGCTCTACCACTGTTCTGATCAGCAGCACTGATTGGTTAAAGCGCAGCCGAGCCCCTCTGTGCACGTGCATGAGAGCCACACACGCGTATTTGGCGCAACGCATCATGGGAGCTCGTCCACTGCGCAGAACCGGGAGGACCAGACGATGCCCAAATACAGGCGAGTTCTGCTAATCTCCCGGTCCCCGTGAAGTCCCATGCACTACTGAGCACAAACCATTCATTTGAATAGGGCGCCATCTTGGATCACCGGGGCTTGGGTTTGGGTTGAATCCGTTGGGTAGTATAGTTATCATTATAGATCCATGAGTATACCATGGATACGTGGGATTGAGGCACTTTGCATCGCATTTTTAGTATGAACAGTGCTTAATGAACATAATGTGATTCATTGATTGACATATTATCTACTGAAGATACTTATTCCACATTCTCAAACATGAAATGACAAAGTAAATAGTGCCATATTTTCTACAATACATCATGTTTCTTCTCTCTCACACCTGACAGTTTCTCTTGCTAGATGTAACGTTCCAAGCCAAACATTCCACTTCCCAAAGGTGTTATTTGAGGGCATTGGGTGAACTTTGCCTGAGGCAGGTCTTTTACCACATAATCCCTTTCCTTAATCAACAATGCTGGAAATATTATATTCTGACTGAATCAAACGGACAAGCATCTGAAAGGAAAATGACTGCTGAGTGTAATAATTATAGGGGGCTGATGAAAATGTTTTGGCCGAAGACGCCGTCTATTCAATTCATGTGCATTCTTGGACTCTCACTCTGTGTCTTGGTGCACACTTTATTTGAACCTTCATCTTTTTTATATTTATCTAAAAAACACATCCCATCACCAAGCAACAGTGGGGGGTTGTTAAAAACTTTCAAGCCACTTTTAAAGATGCCAAAAAGTGTAGGCAATTATATATTTTAATCCAGCCCTTCTGACCTGACACGTCAGGGTCTGGCCATCTTCTGTCAGAGCAACACTGCACAACAAGAAAGGTCAACTATTAAAACAACTAATTTGGACTTGATGACTGGCTTTCAGTAGTTGACCTAATACGCATTTTAATTCAGGTTGTTTGATTTATTCAAAATGTTAAACTTCTGTTTTTTGTGGAAAAAAAATCATAATGGTGTCTTTTTCATGACAATATTCTGGTAATAATATTCAAACACAAGGCAACATACAAATAATCATTGGCCTTTAATTAACCAGGAAAGTGCCACTGAGATTTCAGAATCTCCTTTTCAGGGGAGTTTTGGCCCCAGAGAGGAAGAGACAGAGAGAGAGAGAGAGAGAGAGAGAAACTATTTTAAATGTTTTAGTGGTAGGGGATACTGGAACTCTACGCAGACACATGGAGAACATGCAAACTCCACTCAGACAGGCCCTGTCTGGTGGTGGGATTCAACCCAGGACCTTCTTGCTGAGAAGCGAGAAGAACGCTAACCACTCAGCCACCCAATAGCAAAACAAATGCAAATATGACTTGTTACCAGACAATATATAAGATTAACATATACTATTTCCAATCCATCTTCATATTAAAATTAAACTATACATATCCTGATTGTTCTTCAACTTATCTGGAGGCATTTAAAGAATATTGCACCTGAAAGTTACGGATCTATGTCCAATGAGGCATGGATCGTTAAAACACTCTTAAGCAATGTGCTGGATTACACTTGGAACTGTGATCTAGATTTAGTAGGTAGTCTGTTCGATGTGAGCCAAAATAAAATGTGTTTCTCATCTTGTCCAGCCGCAGAAAAAAGGCTGCGAGAAAAGACGTGACAT